GGAGGGGGAGGAGGGGGATGGAGGTGGACATTACCTGGAAAGCTTGAGTATATTGGATCTGGATCTGGATCTGGATCTGGCCTTCAACTCAGCATGCCTAAATTTTTATTTATTTATTTCTTGTTTTTTTTTTTTATATTCATTATGATTTTAGGATACTGTTAAGTGGCCAGAAAGTATGAGTCCAAACTTTCAGGTATGTTAATTCTATGGTTTATGTTATTAATAATGGTTTAACATTTCTGGAATTAAGATACTCGTCTGAAATTTATTGTTAGAATTAAATTTTAGTGACCATCATGATTATAGCATTATTATTTTAGTGAAAATGGGCATGAAATGGACTACTTCGATGATACTGCTATCATCTTGTATTACAATGCATTATGGCACTGTGTGCAGGGGCATGCAGGGGGCAAATAAAGTCTTGTTACAATAATGACATTGATTGATATTAACAGCTCACCAAACGAGAATGCAATGAAAGATGAATTAAGACGGCACACCGATCACCTTTACCCATAAAAGAAAGACAAACACACAAAACTCTATATATCATTGAAGTAGTCCATTGTTGAGGCCTTAGTAATTTTTTAAGTCTGACTGGTAATAAAAAATGAATGGTTGCTATAATTAATAATATATTTTTGAGCAATCAAAGGTAGGGTTGGCCAATAAGCAAATGCATTTATTTGGAATAAAGCTAAAAAATCATTTCTCCCTACTTTTGTAATGAATGCTCCCCAATAAGATGTACAAATCTAAAAATAATGTTAATTGCTTCTTTTTGTAAAACATTATTTTGTAGAACAGATCTATAATGCTGGTAAATATTTAGCTTACAAGTTTAAAATTCTTTTCCTCGTTTTCCTCAGAGTTTCTTGCAAGGGCTTCTCACAAAGGATCCCAAAAAGAGACTGACCTGGCCATATGTGCTGCGGCATCCATTTGTAGCTGATAGTATAGATGGTAATAATAATAATGATAATAATAATAATAATGAATTATGATTTATATAGCGCTAATATCCCCATGGTTCAACGTCACTTTACAAAAAGATCTGATAAAACATATAAAAATATAACTATATAGATATTTAGTGTGGTTAAGTGGTGTACTGTACATTAAAATCTTTAAACAATAATAATTACAAACAACTTTATAAATACATACATATTTGATAGACTTAGCCGAAAGGGATCAGTAAAGTGTCAATATACTGTTTGCCAGCGCCATACTGACAACTGTTATATTGTATCAACACAGTGTTGGTAGGGTGTTGGTATACTGTTGGCCAACACTATACTGACAACTGTTATATTGTATCAA